ATTCTTAATATTATCCTTTTACTATCCATGAGATCAGTAGTGATGGCTGTTCTTTCATTTCTAATATTAGTAATTTGTGTTTCTCTTTCTTGTTTTTCTTGGTTAGCTTGGTCTGAGGTTTATCAATTTTACTAATGTTCAAAGAAACCAGCTTTCAGTTTCACAGATTTTCTCAACCATTTTCCTGTTGTCAATTTCACTGCTATAACTTTTATTATTATTTTTTCTCTGCTTACTTTGGATCTATTAGGCTCTTGATTTTCTGGTTTCCTGAGGTAGAAACTTATAGAACTGATTTTAATCTTTTTTTAAAATATATGTACTCAATACTATAAATTTCCCTCCAAGCCCTGCTTTCACTACATACCATAAAATTGCTAAGATGCATTTTCATTTAATTCATTATTTTGAAATTTTCTAATTTCTAAGTAGAAGTGTGTTATTTATCAATGTTTTGGTATTTTCTGGCTCTCTTTCTGCTACTATAGTCTGAGAAAATACCAAAACTTTGATAAATAACACACTTCTACCTTTTAAAATGTAAGGTGATTTATGGCCCAGAAATGGTCTATTTGGTCAATGTTCTCAAAAAATATAAATACTTTTAAAAGACAGTAAAGTAAGTACTTATTTTGTATCAATTACACAAGTATTTTTGTACAAAATAAGAGAGAGTTAGGACATGCTACGTTAGGAGGAATGGGCGTTAACTGGGACCTGAGATAAAATTTCCAGTAATCACATTATATACAGATTTAAAAAGTATCACATGTCAGTTTTGAGATACAGAGGACTTAAAAAGTGACTCTAGCAGTAACAAACATTTGGTTTTAAATTTGGTTTTCATGAAATATAAGTACAAAAACCAGTTATTTTTGCAATGTGAGTCCTTGTTAACTGCACCAGAAATCACAATGATTTGAATATATATTTTGAGATGAGACTGGAAAAAAGATAATCCTTGCTATCTAAACTTGCTCTCCAAAGTCAGAAGCCAAATAGATTCGGATGGTAAAGAATGTGTATCTTCCTATATAATATTAACTATAAATAAATAAACATTTGACTTTTGATTATTTCATCTACCTGTCTGAGAGAAAAAAAGAGAGAAAGAGAGAGGAGAGGAGACGAGACGAGACGAGATGAGACGAGACTATAATTCTCGCTGAGAAAAAGGAGTATTATTTTGTATTCAGAATCACTTTATATTTAGACATATACAGTGGTAGATTTTTGTGCTGAAACATAATGCAGAGTGAGTGTTTTAATAGCATGGGAAGAGCAGTTGGCAAAATTCTTTATACTACATGGTCTCTATTGTGTAAAAAACAATGCCTATTAAAAGACTGGAAAGAAATGTGCCTAAATGTAACGGACTGAGCAATAGTCTTTCTCCATCTATAACATTCACTACATGCAAATTTTTTTACACTGTGATCTTATTTCATTTGTAGTCAGAAAAATATTCAATAGGGATTTTAATATAATAAGTACTTTAATAGAGTTATTTATAAAGAAGGTTTAATATTAATACCAAAGAGTATCAATTCTGGGAAGTTCAATTTACATTCTGGAAGGGGAGATGCTTCAAATATAGCCTAATATAATAGGGCAATAGTGTATCAGAAAGAGGATATGTTGTACTTGCAACCAGAAAGTGAGACGAAGCATGTACCACCAGGGGAATTTAAACAGTTCCATATGACTAGAATAAAGGCTGCAAAAACAGTAGGAGAAGCAAGAGAAGTAATGTCTACATACACATATTGGGGCCAGATGGTATATAATGGAGTTCTGAGTTTTTAGAATAAAGATAGCCTAAGCCTAGCCATACTAGTTAACTCATTTCAATGTTTAATATCAATACTAAGTAAATCCTGACCTGTAACAATCATATTTGGATACTTTCTTTTAAATGCTTAAAACCAAATTAATTTTTCTCCTTTAAAACTAAACCAGAGACAGGAATTTCTGGACTTGGCAGGGTAGAGTTGGCAAATCTACTCCTCAAGAAACAGCTATAAAACTGGACATAATCATCAAAAACAGCCATTTTGGGACTCAAACGAAGGCAAACAAGTTGGGGAATGTTTATTCACTAGAACCAACTAATCCTAGTGGTGCCCTTGCCTGAAGCCACTCTTCTCACCCACCCCCCTTGCTCAGCTGGTATGAAAGTTCTTTAAGAACTAGGCTGGTTGTGAAAAGCAGCAGCTTCACTGCTGGAAGGAGCTAACTTGATTTGGAACAAAGGGTAAAAAACCCACACAGAGCACTGTCAGTAAAAGTAGAAAACAGAAAGTCAGCAGCTATGCTAGCCACAGGTTGCAGTTTCAGTTAGGCTGAGCTACAGACTGAAGAACTAGTCAGAAATTTAACCTGAAAAATCCTGGAAATGAGAATGGCACAGAGGTGATAGGTAAGGTCTCCACATAGTCTTGACTGCCCTGGAGGCTAAGTGAACATGCACAGGAGACCCAAGGGGGTCTGATGGAAAACAAATGGTGAGGCACACCTGAAAACTGCCTAAGTGTTAACAGCACTCCCCAATCAACACACATCCACTGGCAAACAGTAGAGAAGACCTAACTGGCTTGAGGCGCTGGAGTATATAACCAGTGCTATCACTGATCACTAAGCTATGAAGACAGACTCTAGGAAACCAGCCTAAAATAAAACAAAAATAAAAATACTATGCAAACTGCAAGGAAGGCGGGTCCCACGGATTCAGCCCAGGCAAATTAGTAAAAAACCACCACTACCACTGCCCCCTCCTTGGGGGAAAATCCAAACCAAGAGTTTCCACAATATATTATCAAAAATATACTGGGTGTTTTTAACAAAAAAAATGATGAGATATACAAAGACAAACAAGAAAGTGTGTTCATACTCAAGAAAAACAGCATTAAAGAAAAATGACTCTGAGTGAACTCAAATGTTGGAGCAAAGTCTTCAAATTAGCTATTACAAAAATGTTGCAAGAATTAAAAGAAAGGATGTTAGAAGAATTCAAGGAAAATACAAGGACAATGACTCAACAAATAGGATAATCTCAATAGTAAAATAGAGACTATAGAAAAGAAACATACAGAGGGGACCCTGGGTAGTTTGGGCAGTAAAACATTCAACTCTTAATCTCAGGGTCATGAGGATTCTCAGGGTCACGAGTCAAGTCCTATGTTGGGTATGGAGCCTACTTAATAAATAAAAAAGGAGAACCACACAGAAATTCTAGGACCGATATGTTCCAAATGTACCTATCTTTGATAGCAGTATAACTATACATATTTTTTACAATGTCATCATTTAAAAATATTCAAGAATGTTCATAACAACATCTGAGTTACAGGATGTTTAGTAAGTCACTATGCTTTGTAAGCTTTATTGTAACCTTTGAAAAGAAGTAAAGATGCCTCATCCTTTCCTGCTGAACTAATCAAAAGTATGTTAAATTTTAAATAAAATTGCTTATGTATTTTCAACATTATGTAAAATCAAAGTAATCAGAGGTAATGCTATGTTCGATATCTACTACAAATTTAAATGGCTAAAAGGTTGATTTAATTTTATTTTCATGGTTAGCTTTCAGTGTCTATCAAGATTGTTTCTAGAATTATTCAAGTTCAGCATTTTCAAGAGATTAATAAAGTATTACTTGATACTACAAATCTGTTCTGGTAGTAAAGTGTATAAACAATTCTAATAATTGGATTATAATACTTATGTATATGTGTGCCTGTGTCTGTGTATGTATATATATATATATATATGCACACACATACACATATGTACACATACATATATAGTGAAATACTGTTAAGCCATAAAAAAGAATGAAATCCTGTCATTTGTTATAACATGGATGGACCTTGAGGCCATTTTGCTAAGTGAAATAAGTGAGAGAGAGAAAGACAGATACTTTTATGATCTGATTTATATGTGGAATCTAAGAAAAACCAAACCCACAGAAACAGAGACATGATTGTGGTAGTCAGAAATGGCGGCAGGGGGTGGGATAGAGAAACCGAGTGAAAGATACAAACTTCCAGTTACAAGTTAAGGGGATGTAAGGTACAACATGATGATTTAAAAAAAAATTTTTTTTAAATGTTTTATTTATTTTGAGAGAGAGATAGAGTACAGGCAGAGGAGGGACAGGGAGAGAGACACACACACAGAAGCAGGCTCCAGGCTCTAAGATGTTAGCACAAAGCCTGACGTGGGGCTCAAACTCGTGAATCATGAGATCATGACCTGAGCTGAAATCGGACACTTAACCAACTGAGCCACCCAGGCGTCTCCAACACGATGATTATAGTTAACAATACTGTACTATATAATTCAAAGTTGCTAAGAGAATGAATCTTAAAAGTTCTCATCACATGAAAAAAAATTATAACTGTGAGGTGGTGGATGTTAACCAAACTTGTAATCATTCCAAAATATTTACATAAATCAAATCATGTTATATACTTTAAGCTTATACAACGTTATATACCTTAAGCTTATACAATGTTATATTATAGCTCAGTTAAACTGGAAAAATATTCATGTATTTATTAAATAAAATTTATGACTATGCATACATATACTACCGGTAGGCAAATTTTCACATCAACAACAAAATAATGGCAACTGGCTCCATTAATAATCTTCCATTGTGATTTTTCAGTTAGTAGATAGCCACTTTAAATTAAACACAGTTTAAAATGGATTTCGCTATTTTGATTCTTGTATTACCATAATTATTATGACATTTAAGAAACTATTCTTATTTTTCCTGAACACAATTTGCTATAGAACCATTAGATTTCCTGATATCCCTTAAAATTTATGCTAGTTTTCTACCTAGTAATATTATAAATCTGCATTTTTCAGCCTAATCTATTATCAAGGGAGCAAGCAAATGGCTTACTACTTATTGAATCGCTATGCTACTTTACATTATTAATAGAGTTATCCAGGATGATGTTAATAATTGAAATAGAAAAACTACTTACTCAGTTATAAATTCAGGGTTTGTAAAGCTGAGGTTGGTTAAATGACCTTCAAGTTTAGAAGACTCATGTGTACTTAAGGCTGGAGTGGTCTTAGTGGCGAGTATAGCTCTTTTTTCATCCTTTTCAAGTGCTTTTCTCTTTCCACCATTTTGGAAGTATTCTCTGCATACACTACAAAGCAAAATGAAGTTATACTGTAAAATACTAGGTAGGAATAGAAAACAAAATGGGAAAACATTAGCCCTTTATTAATCAAAACAGGAAACTTTCAATTACAAATTCCTACTCTGAAAATGTCACATAAAGTTTGAGCCCTTGTAACACTGCACATATAATACAGCATATTCACAGATTATATTTTATAAATAAAGAGTATGTTTTCAGGGGTACAGATGTGCCTATATGTTTGCTTAACTGTATTCTTAAAACATAAATTTCTCTAGAAACTCTTAGATAAGTCTGCTATTCAGGGACAGCATACAAAAAGAACAGTTGTTACAGTTAATTCTGAGCCAGGTTTGCTGGTAGTAGACAGATACCCCAAAAGTTGTTTCTTAGATCCCTCCTGGTTTATGAAACCTAAGTAAGGATGTCAACATGTTAAGAATCATTAATATTCTTATTTGCTCTGAGAGAAGGGAATAAAAATCTAGTTCAGGTAAAAATGGTACTGTATCATACAGGTAAACATTTACAGAACAAAAGTTTGAATATTAAGGTGGTTTTTGTAACACCTGGAAATTATTCTTATCCATCAAGAGACCATTCCTTTTTGAATTCTTACAGTATTAAAATGCAGATTTTTTTAAAGATGTTTAATTTTACAATACATCAGGTTGCTGTCCAGAACCAAAACTGATGACTAACATAACCTTATAAACAATTTTCTTCAAACCTAATATAATTTTAGAGTGAATATAGTAGGGCACCATGCCTGGGTATACAATAGGAAAAACAAACATAAACCATAGAATCAACTCAAATATTTATTAGCTTTTAAAGCCAGGAATCTTAAGGTAAAGAAAGGCTAAGGAGACCCAGCGCTGGCCCTTGAGCTTACAATGTGATAGCTTACGTGTGAAAACAAGAAAGGATATAATTACCAAAGCTACTTGAAGGAGAAGGGAATCTAAACAATTTTTTTTTTTAGATTCTTACAACACATTATTAGTACATATAGCTCATACTTTGAACAAAGCTAAACTATTTTTCTCTATAGACACTGCTTGGTGAATTTCCAGAAACATATGGCAAGAGAAAAATTGAAGCATTAATTTAAGACTGGTTTCTGCAAGTAGAACTATGATCTAAGGGAGCAATGTCATCTCTCCTCATACTTATATGCTATTAGTTCAATTTCACTTTTTCTTAGTAACTACTATTAAGACTTCTTAAAAAAAAAAGACTTCTTTAATTTTCCTATGTAGATTTAGTTTTAGTTCTTATAGATAGGAGTTGAAACCCATTTATCATAAATTAAATATTTATTAAGTATTAAGAATATAGAGCCCCATGTGCCTGGCACATCTGTGATGAGAAAACAAATTGGAGAAGGGATTGCTGCCCTCAAGAAGCTCAAACTAGTGAAAAAGACAAACAATTACACAATAATAAAGGAAATACAGTGGATAAAGATGATATACAACTGATAACCCAATCTAGAGTTAGTAATATATGCTCACTTTAGAAATATGAGTAAGAATAACCAAGGAAGAATGCTAGTTTGGGAGAGTGCTTTCCTGGCAGAATAGCATGAGCAAAGCACAGAAGATAAAAACAGCAAGATCCTGCAGAGATGGACATCCATCCAAGATATGTGAAATGTAAAGTGCCAAGAAGAAAACGGATGGATGGACTTACAAGTAAAAAGGCCCTGAGGCCAACACAAATATAGTGGGGAAAGGTAGCTAGGTGACACTGGAGTGATAAGCAAGCCTCAGATCCCGCAAGACTCCAAGGGCAATTTAAAGATGTGGTATTTAGAAATCTAATCTAATGACATCAGTTTAGTGATTTCCTGGGGTGGGGCTAATTGCGAAAGTGTACAGTGGAGCTTTTTAGAGTGATGGAAATATTCTGTATCTTGACAATGGTGGTGGTTATAGAAGTGTAAACAACTGTCTATATCCACTGAATTGTACACTAAAATGGTGCCTTTTATTGTATACAAATTAAACCTCAGTAGAGCTGATAAAAAATGTAGCCTTTATAACTTTGGAATCAATACTAAAATTAATGCTTCTACAATATAACATTGCACTAAGGCATAAAACACTAGAATAAAGCACTTGCCTACCTTTCTTTTAGGTAGCACCATATACAATTCTGGATATTTAAGAATTCTTGAATTACAAAAACTGCAATTTTATATGGTTCAACAACATAGTTATCTAGAAAATTGGCAGCAAAATACTTAAAGAGCTAGAATTCAAGGTTTTATTCATAGAATAGCAGCCATCTAAATTCCAATCTTCCTATAAGCCTTCCATAGAATATAAAGATCATTCAGGAGACAAATTAAAGCCCATACAGTTCATGCCTATGGTACAGGCATCGTTAGGAGCCAGAATGGCACTTCATTCTACATGTAATTGGGAAAATAAAAATCAGAGGCCAACTGAATTGGCTTTGGAGCTCCCAAAGTACAGAGTCAAATGAGGATTCTATAAAAGAGGGTAAGATATGGTGGTGTTTTAGAAGTAGCTAATTCATACCACCCAAGAGAGGGGTCCAACTCTTAGCGGGGGAATCTTAATAATAAATAAGATTTGGGATATTGTGAAACACAGCATTAGCCACTGGATAGTTAAAAGGACACATAAATAAGAACATATATAAAAAGTAAATGTCACCAAAAAGGAGAGCCTTGAAAAGATATTGCTTCTGGGGGAGAAAGGATGTACTTTGAAAAAATGGAGGTATCTCTGAAGGCTTGGTGATAAAAGGAAAAAATTAAGCAATTGAGGATAAGGAGCCTACTGAGGTGTTATAGTCTAAACTATGTATTAAAAAATGTTAAGTCAGACCAAAAGAGGAAAATATATATTAAAGGAACTTTACTTTTGTATTTGTAGTAATCAAAGTTCTTCAGAATTAAAGAATAAAGTAAGCCACCCAAACCCTGACAGTCACTCCAACATAATATAAAAACCCACGAGATAAATGCTCAATGAACACAGAAACCAAACAAAGTTCTATTAGAAGGGAAAAAATAAGTAAAACCAGTAGATGAAAATTCTCAAAAACACAGAATCAAAAACAGCCATAAAAAAGAACTGTGTAACATTTCAATATTAATTATATATAATTAAGCAACTGTAGATATGAAAGAACATTTCAAATTTGAAATAAAAAAGCTGAGAACAAAAAGGAATGAATAATGGAGAGATATTCTATGAAAATGGATAGGAAGATGCAACACTGTCATAATGTCAGTTCTTCCCATTTTGATCCACAGAGTCAATACAATTCCAATCAAAATTAAGGCAAATAATTTTGTGGAGACCAACAAACTAATTCTTTTTTTTTTTAATGTTTATTTCTGAGAGAGAGAGACAGCGTGAGCAGGGGAGGGTCAGAGAGAGAAGGAGACCAGAATCTGAAGCAGGCTCCAGGTTGTCAGCACAGTGCCCGATGCAAGGCTCGAACCCACGAACCGTGAGATCATGACCTGAGCTGAAGCCAGACGCTTAACCGACTGAGCCATCCAGGCGCCCCAACAAACTAATTCTAAAGTTTATATGGAGAAGCAAAAGACCCAGAATAGCTAACACAGTACTGAAGAACAAAATTGGAGGACTGACCACTATCTGGCTTACTTTATATAGTGATCAGAACAGTGTGGTATTGGTGATGGAATAGGCAACTAGATACATGGAACAAAAGAGTCCACCAATAGACCCACACAGATATACTCAACTGATTTTCAGTAAGAGAGCAATGGCAATACAATAGAGTATGAACCTAAACAGACATTACACCTTTCACAATAATTAAGTCAAAATGGATCATAGATATAAATGTAAAACACAAAACTATAAAGCGCTAAGAGAGTTTTACAAACGTCCTAGGAGAAAAGCTAGGTGACCTTGGGCTTGGCAATGACATTTTGGATATAACACCAAAGTCAAGATTCATCAAAGAAAGAATTGAGTAGCTGGACTTAAAATAAAAAACTGCTCTGCAAAAGAGAATGAGAGAGAATGAGAAGAGAATGAGAAGACAAGACACAGACTGGGAGAACTATTTGCAAAAGACATATCTGATGAAATTAACTGTTATCTGAAATATACAAAGAATTCTAAAGACTTAATAACAGGAAAATAAACAACCCAATTTAAAAACGGGCAAAAGAACTAAATAGATAACTCACCAAAGAAGATATACAGACAGCAAATAAGCTTATGAAATAAGCTCCAGGTTATGTATCATGAGGGAAATGCAAATTAAAATAGCAACTCGACACTACCACACACTAATAATATGGCCAAAATCCTGAACATCAACACCACCAACTGCTGGTGAACATGTGGGGCAACAAGAACTTTCATTCATTGCTGATGGGAATACAAAATGATAAAATCACTTTGGAGACAATTTGCCAGTTTCTTATACAACTAACCATATTTTTACCATACAATCCAGCAATCACACTCCTTGGTGAAAAATGAAAAAAAAAAATGAAAACTCACTTCCACACAAAACCTGCATATGGATGCTTACAAGCAGTTTTATTCATAACTGCCAAAACTTGGAAGCAATTAAGATGTTCTTCAGCAGATGATAAAGAAAAAAATTGTGGTAAATGCCTATTAAGTGAAAGATATCAATCTAAAAAGGTTATATACTATGATTCCAACTCTATGACATTCTAGAAAAGGCAAAACTATGGAAAGAGTAAAAAAGTCCATGGACAGTGTAAGAAGGGATGTGCAGGTAAAGCAGAGGATTTTTAGGGCAATGAAACTATCTGCATGCTACTATAATGGTGAATATTTATCATTATACATTTGTCAAAACCCATAGAATACATAACACCAAAAACGAATCCTTTTTTTTTTTTTTAATATTTTTATTTATTTCTAGGAGAGAGAGAGAGAGACAGCGTGAACAGGGGAGGGTCAGAGAGAGAGGGAGACACAGACTCTGAAATAGGCCCCAGGCTCTGAGCT